TGTGTGGGGAGAGAGAAATAGTGGATTGATTTATATAAAAGACTCTTGGATTAACTTTAAATAAATGACTGTTTGTCACTCCAGACAGAAAATAATGAAGGAATTATCTTCTCAGTGCTTTATCTGTTAATGTTAAATGGATCTTTAACTACTTACAATTTAATATGAATATAGCAGATGAGGGTTTCTGTTTCTGTGATCAGGTATGGATTATCCAAATTATTCCAAATGTGTTATACGCTGATGTATTATGACCAGAATAGATTCATATCGGTTGTAGCACATATAAAGCATAATCCAGGAGTTTAGGTAGCTAGTGTAAATCAATGTAGCACCATTATCTCCCCCTGCCCCCTACAATGCATGCTGATTTACATCAATTGAGGTCCAGGGCCCTGATCCTTTTATGGTGTTTTGCTTTGATCAGATGTTAGTACACATGTTGTTCAAGTGGGAGAGAATAATAATGAGTGTACACTAGCATTTTATTGACCTCAAATTGTGAAATTAATGCAGTTTAGTGTCAGCTTGTTAACACAAGCTAGGGACAGACATTCAAAAAGCATGAGCCTGAATTGATTCAATCTTTGCAGGTTAGTCTAAGCTGGCTAGGCTGAACTGGTTTGTAACTGGACCGACATTCTCTCTGGACTGAGGAAATTCAGGCACATGCCTGCAGTGGCTAAGGCTAGAAGCTGCAGGGCACTACAGTAGCCCTCCCTGCCCTTCTGCAGGGAGCTGAGCTGAGGGGGGTATGACCAGGCCCCGGCAGGACTCTCTCATTAGGGATGTCTGCCTGCATGGTCCCAGGTTTTTCCCTGCTGGCTGCCCAAGAGGTGGAAGTGTTGCCATCCTCCAGCCCCAGGCTAGCACTGTGAGGCAGTGGGGGATGTATAGCGCGTTCATCTGTTGATGATACAAAGCTTTTCGATCTCCCTCCCTGCTTCGTCATACTGTCTGCAGCAAACTGACAGCAAGCAAGCCAGCTGGGGGCTGATAGTGATAACAGTCTTTATCACCCTATTAGCAAAATAATGGCCTCTCTCCTTTACTTCAGACTTCTTAAACAGCTTACCAGCTGACCTGTTGATTAGCTCCAAACAGCCCTAAGCTGTCACTGTTCTGTCTGCCTGCCACAGTGAAATTGGAGAGAGACACACACACAGACACCTCTCAGCATTAGCTAGCATACCATATGCTGGCTACAGTCCCTGCTGTGGCAGAGAGGAGGAGGGGATCTCTGCTTAAACAGAGAGTGGTGAGAGGGGAGAGAGAGCGGGGCACAGGGAAGCCAGAAGACTCTGCTTTGCCTGGAAGTCTGTGCTGAGCTCCATCCAGGGAGCAGAGGGGAGGGGCCAGCACTGCTGTGGAGCAGAGAGCTCCGCCCAACCCAGAGAGTATGCTGGGATACTGGGGGACTCTGATTCAACTTAAACCAGCAAGTGGTCTAGGTCAGACATTGCATAAACTGGTTTGAGCCAAATCAGTTAAGTCTGATACTACATTCAACCAGGTTTATCTCAAGCCAGTTTCAGCCAGTTTCAAACTGGTTTATGTGCACTGAACATCTGTTCTGTTAAAGATTTAAACCAGTTTCTGATCACTTAAACCAGTTTATGTGTAATGTCTGTCCCTAGCCAGTAAGGCCACAATGTGGACCAAAATGGGAAGCACTGGGAAGATAGTAATACATGAGTCTTAATGTTGTGCATTTAATTCAGCACCATTTGCTCTGCAGCCCAGTTTTAAAGATTAGGCAATTTTTATAACTTAGTGCCAGGACTGTTTAAATTTGATTAATGTAGGATATGTGAGGTATGTTGGCAGTTTTATATTCCGCTTAGATGTTCTACTTCCTGCCCCCCCATCCCTCATGCAGTAGAAGAGTACAAAACAACACCTACTGTTAAATGCCTGCTTGTTTCCTATTGTGATGCACAAGTTCTAAAATAGCTACTGCTGATTACACAAGAACTAGGGGCTCACAACATTTCAAACCAGACCTTTTGGAAGTGCCTGAACTCACTTCAAGCTTGGGAGAAGCTTAAAATAAAAACAGATAAAAAAATCCAATGGGGGACAAGTGCAGAAAATTAGAGTGACTCTGTTGAAAACAAATACAGAGAAAGTGGGGAGGCATGTTGAAAACTAGAGTCAAAGAGAAAATGCCAGTGGAAAACTAAACTATACACACAATGTAGGGCACCCAATTGTACCAGTCTAGCTTTTGAGTCACTGTCTTATCTCTAATGCATAGCACAGGCTTCCTTTTTTTAGTCTGAAAATATATTTGTTTTTAGACCTGAATCACCCTTTGTGTACAAGAGGGAGGACGTTGGTTTAAATTACAGGAAAAATGTTTATGTATGCAAACCACTTTCCTGAAGTTCCAAAGTAGCAGAAGCGGGTCTCAAAGCCCTGCGCTTGCTGAAGTTCTCCCATTGTAACATGAAATTTAAATGAGAGAACTCGCCATACAATGAAATGCCCTGTTGCTTGTTGAAGATATCTTCTATGTTACTGGTATTAAATAACTAAAATAGAGGTAGACTGATTATAGTCCCTTTGTTTCTATATTCGGCTTGGAGACAAGTCATTGAGTAATTTTTCCCCTGTGGCTATCCCCAGAATAGCTGAATGCCTATGGGTACACAAAAAGTTGTGCTGTGATGTCATTACCAGAGGTTCCAGCTTCAAAAAACCACTACATAATGACCAGCATCCTCTTATTTCAGCACTGATCCAAGCTGGGGATCTGTTGTGGATGTAATGCACCACTATGTTTATCAGGCTCCCAGAAGCAGAGTATTTACAGCAGACTGTTGAGTTTCTAGCTATGCCTTGTTTAAATACCAAGAAACAATTAAAAAAAAACAAGTTAGTTTTCCCCCAAGAAACTAAATTTCCTGTGCAGAATATACTTTGCTAAATTAGTGCTGTTTTATTACTGAAAATATTGACTTTAGTTTGGAACAAGCAGTCACCAAAATGTAGCCTAAAATCATTTTGTATATCTTGGCATCAATCTGACTCAGTAAGTCCTACTGCTTTTGCTCTTGAGTTGCAGAAGTATAAAGTGTGGTTGTACTCAATGCTGTTATTCTTTACATAGGCATTCTCATATGTTGAACTTTTTTTAAGCTTAATCCCTCTGTCATTAAAATGTGATTTTGGTAACTGGCCCTTTGCATGGTATGGCCTTGTTTCAAGAGCCCAGTATTAAAAGGACATCTGTAGACATCTGTGAACACACTGGGGCAGATGGCAGTAGTCTGATTCACTGGGGCAGATGGCAGTAGTCTGCCAGTAGGGGGGGTGTGGTAGACATTTTGTAGGCTAGAGGTTTGAAAAATCTCAGGTTACTTAGCCATATTTATCAGCTTAACACCAGCAGGCTACTTCATCAAGTGACTATACTGACACCTTGTTTTGTTATGTTTTTGCACAGTTTTCACTTCCTCCTGATATTTAGCATTTACTGAAACAAGCTGCAACACTTTACTACCCTGAACTTAAAAGTCTGTGGTTACTCTGCCTTGCTTAAAATTCATTGTAACAAGTGAATTGACATAATTTTTGTCTTGACATAATTAAAAGACACGCTTCAACATATATGCCCTAACTTAGATTACTGTATATTTTAATCCTGTATAATTAAGCCAACAAGTAGGTGTGATGCTATTGCTGTAAAATAGATCTAATTAAAAATAGTAATATGGCCATCCTTTAATATGACATAGTGATGGCAGTGGGGATAGTTGGAGAAAGGAGAGGATAGGTACTATTAGTCTCAAGATATTAGGCATTTTTTTAAAAAGCAGTTTTAAAAGTTTTTAAATGGCTGTATTATTAGCAGTGGTGGAAAATATATTGTTAACCTAAAACAAAACACAATCAAGGATAGCTTGGTTAGAGTTCTCCATGAATAAGCATACCTACATCCCCTCTACTTCAGATTTTACACATCTTTTATAGGTTGTTATTGATATGACTGCTTTCTTTGACAAATCGAGTTTGTTCTGACACAGTGGAGAAATTGCTCCCATTCCCTTATTTAAATAAAAATATCAGCTTTTATGTTACTTGAGTTATTGGGAATTCTGTTCATAGTAATATTTCTTATATAGGTCCTCATTGGGGTTGTTTTCCAAGATATGTCCTTACAAGCATTTTAATACTCTTAACATTTGATTAAGAACTGCATTCAGATATATGTGCCCTTTTGCTGCGTGATTGGAGTGAAAATAAGAAAGGGGTTTTTTTGATGAAAAATCATTTCCGCTAAAAAACTTTTTCATATTATTAATGCTAAAAATTATTTCATTGCACCTAGAATGTGCTGTGTCCTGGCTAGATGTATAGAAAGACATCATCTCTCACATGATACTTACTGTTACTCTTATCACATTAACATCCCAACCATCTCAGCTTAAGTAAAAATGAACCAACTCATTGTCTTGCATTTACATCTATCTTTGGGAAAGAGAGTGGAAAGGTTGTTTGATGTTTCCAGGAGCCTGCTACTGTAATTTACCATTGAATTAAGTATTTAAGTTTGGAGTGTTGTTAGGTAAGTTTGTGCTTTAGTTTAAGAATTGGTTGATGATGCAGTCATCATAGATATTTACTGATATCAAAACATTTGTTGCATGTTACAAAGTAGGAGCATCTTTAAGGTTTTTGCCTTGTTACATTAGTTGTTGTACCTATGTTTTTGAACACTTGCTTAGTATATTTTTCCCCGTGCCTTAAGTGCATATAATTCTTTCTCAGACCTCCCATGTAGTTAAATGTATTGGTAGAATGGTGGCTTGCATGCAGGTCACTCACCCCTAAAGAAAACACTTTCAGGTCACAACATATAACCTATATTATAAGAACAGCTGTTGGTGTGATTCTGAAAATGAGTGTCCTTGATCTCTTTGACATTTTTTTTTTTAAAGACTGGTGGTAAATAAAAGGAAAATTGATTTTTAAATGTTTTCATTTTTTATACACAGATCAAAAAATATTTTGAACTCGAACCACTTGCTCGAGGAAAACGCTGGATTCTTAAACCCTGTTCCCTGGATGATATGGAAGCAGTAAAAGACAGCTTCACCCTTCTGATAAATTCGCTAGAAGAGAGAGACCTCGAGCCTTCAAGAATGTGAAAAGCTAGGCAAGAAGACTGGTTGTCCAATCATCATTGTACCTGTTCATTCTGCTCACAGTTTAATTTTGATGTGGTAACAAGGTATCCACTCTGTATTATGCCATACAGTAAATAAATAGTGCAGGATGTCTTTTTTATTGCAATGAATGGTCTGTCAGTCAGGTACATGATTATTTCCAGTAAAGTTGTCTACACTACTGAAATAGGGAGTTCCTCTTTGTTTACCACTAATTCTGCACACTGCATGTTGCTTTCATTAATTAATTAATGCATTGCCATTAATCTGTCATTGATAAGGAATTTTGCACGCACAAAATCCATCTCTAAAGGATCAATACTACCAGTTATTTTTTCTGAAAGTAATAGTGTCCTAAGAATTTGTGGATATTACTTTGTGTTAGTCCGTGGGTCAGCAAACAAGCTGTCTGGAAAGCATAGCTGCTGAGAGCACCAGTAAATTATCTTTACAAGCCAACAGTGTCTTGTTGATGCAGAGTTTAGACTAAAGCCTTACTGAATGAAATCACAAGTCACTTGTTGGATGATTGCTATTCAAACATATAATTTTTAACCCTTTCAAAGAAATGCCTACCCTTTTGTTGGGAGTTTCTTAAAGGCGAAATGAAGGCACAAAGACAGTGTGCATACATATCAGTATTTCTTTCATATTTCTAATTTTCTTGAGAACAGAGCCTACGTAAAACACAATCTAGTGGGTAATATTTTTAAAAATTTAAATAGGGTTAGCAAAGGTGATTTGAGAGCAGCAAGAATAAATGTATTTTAAGTCAGCACTGGATGCATTCTATGGATTTAGCCTGAAGTGTGACAGGTTTTAAATAAGGGATCTCCTTTATCATTCACTCATAACATGCTATGATTATCACAACTGTGCCAGCATCTCTAGCCCATGGCTACACGTTGGCCAGTGTTTCTGTAATAAACCCTCTTTTTTCAAGAACTTGTCCTTAGAAATTTGCTCTAGGCTAGCTCTAAAGAAAAACACAATAAAAAACTGTATAGAACATAAACAGGGTTTAAAAAATGGGGAAGAAAAAACACATTTAATTACAGAAATCCTCTCACCAAACTTATCCCAAGTTTGCAGGGCTCAGAAGTAGTTGGGCAGTTGCAGAATAATTTTAACAAATCGTTTCTGTTAACTAACTTGTTGAGCCGCTGGTTCACAGCATAAGAAGGCACAGCAGGTTGTATAGACATCCACAGAACACAGATACATACCTTGGATGATGTACTTTGTGCATTCAGCCACCCAAATGCACAGGTATCCATCTAAGGTACACACTGCAGTGACTTGCCGAGGGTGTTACAAATCCATCTAGACTCTGCTTTTTTATGTTTTAAAGAATACTCTTGAACAGTTTTACCAAGCTTTACTGAGCAGCATATTCTTCCACTTCTAAAGTTTATTCTTCAATGTTTTTAAAAATATACTTTGTTAACTGAAATAGATTTTTTTACATTTTAAGTTTCCTTGACCTTAGTGGATAGCTTCTTCAGTATAAACTGCTTCCCTGCAGCCCATTTTGAGATAAGGACGTGGTCTAATGGTTCCAGCTGCAACTCACTGGCTATTGTCAAAGTGATATTGGACCTATTGAGCAGTTCCTATTTTATTCTATAATAGAGACCAAGAATTCCAGTAACCAAAGCACCGGAGTCTGCTCCCAAAGGGGTCCCTGAGCTTGTTTGCCTTTTCTTCTCTTCTGCCATCACTTAATCCTGTCCTTCCTCAAAGCCTCTCTTTTACAGATACCCAAAAACTTGAAATGGTTATGTTTTAAGGACGAAATCAGGATCCCAAAGTCAGCTCACTGAAGGGCTATGACCTGAGGCACTGGAAAATGCTCAGCTCATAGTCCCTTAGTTCCTGGTGTCCACCTGTGGTGGACCCCCTTTATTTGTTCTGAAGCTGCATTAAGACCTTAGCCAGAGTTCCTGCTCTTCCCTTCCAACCTGCATAAACAGCTTAAAATTCCCAGGTTTCTGCAAAAGAAGCTGATTTGAAGAGAGACTGTAGTAAGGAAGATGAATTTGGGGTAGCAGGGAAGGAAAGCAGCTTTGGGGGGCAAGGAAAGAGGAAGGATTATAATTTTTTTTTTTTTTGCTTTTCAATTGGAAATAAGATAGAAATAATTGCTTTACTATTTTCTCCCTTATTCCTAATCTTAAAAGCAGTAGACCAAGCCCATGGACCAACTCCACTGACTTCCTCAGAGCTATATTCACCATATTGAGCAGTGAATTTGGCCCAACAAAGATAGGGATTTTGATTTTGTTTTGATCATAAAGTTGTTATGCACCATTGGAAGGTGCTACAAGGCCATGACATCAAAAGGCTCAGTTAGCCAATGAGAATGTGACTTTGGCCTTACTCTGATGTACAGTAGAATAGGACCTTTTGATGTTTAATTCCTTTCTTTAGGAAAATGCCACATGCACAGGAGTAGCATGTGGCATTTTCTTTTTAATAATTTCTTTTTGAATAATGATTTTCAGTATGCATATTCTTAACTGTTATAATCACTTCATGCTCCAGGTTGAAACAATACCTCATAACTGCTTAAGGATTTAACACAGATGCTTAACTTTACTTTGAATGTAGTTCTTTTTTGCTTCTGTGTTGTGGCTTTAAATGGATCTCTAGCTTTTAAATGGTTAAATACTTTCACCTTTTTATGGAGGGATTAAAACAATTCATAGCAGTTTATATCACACTTTAGACCAAAAAAATGTTCTTGAATATTCTTAATGCAGTGGAATCTATGAACACCACACTTCTTATTCAGATGACCAATCTCAATTACAGATTTATCTTTTTCCTGTTTATTCATCATTTAGATGAGATAAATTCAGTCACTTGAAGCCACTTTTCATGTAAGTTCATTAAACAGCGAATATTGTCTTTTTTTATAAAGATATTGTGCTTCAGTGTTCTGTAACCATCTGTTGAATTAGAGAGAGAGAGAGAGAGAGAGAGAGAGAGAGAGAGAGTGTGTGTGTGTGTGTGTGTGTGTGTGTGTGTGTGTGTGTGTGTGTGTACATTGGGCTTCTTTTCAGACCTGTGACTGTCTGCAGTGTCTCAGTAGTCAGAATGAAAACATTATCAATCAGTATCCAGCAACAGCTGTTTTTGACAAGCTTCTGTCTGACGCCTAATACTTTACAACTGTCAATAAGACTCCTCCTTCGTCTACCAGTTCTGAGCTGGTCATCCTTTTGCTTCCATGTTATGTCCTGTACTTGTACTTCTAGAATTTGCAAGGTTTTTTGGAAATCTTCTAGTGTTTTGATAGCCTTTCTTGCTGTATAATGTGCCACGTGTGTGTGTCTTAGTTCGCATATTCGAATGTTCTATAAAAAAAAATCTGTGATGTGTTATTTCATTTAGCTTCTTGCATTTTGTCATATTTATAGAAGTTACAGATTTTTGTACCTTGTTAGCTAATACAGTTGCCTTTTTATAACGGCAATTAATTTATATTACAAAAGTTTGTATCTTTACTGTAGTTGAGAGTATTGGTTCATAGTTAACTGCCATATTATCCTGACTTTATACTAAAAACACAGCCTCTGTACTTAGTAGTTGATCCCCTTCATGTGGACAGCTACCAGACATGGGGAAATTGTACATCTGTGATTTATACATGATTTCCACTATCAAAAAAAAAAAAAAGAACGAATGAAAATAAAAGCTGAGTAGAGTTGAAGTTCTGAGCTTGAATCTTTTCAATATTAACATTTGGGACTCCAAGTTAGCTAAATTAAGACTGCAAAAAAAGTTATTTATTTCTTTGTCAAAAACAAATGAGTTTTGTCATTCTATAACAGTTATGCATAAACAAAGCATATGAGTCTTAGTAGGTTTATTTTCATAGCAAGTTGTTGGGTTTTTTTATTCCAGCAATATTTTGACATCTCCAATAGAATGCTACGAATGGAAACAAGTCTTGGTAATGCAATTACTTCAGGAGTTCAAGTCAGGAAACATTCTTTTGTATCCAGTAAATATTTTTAAATATATAATTGTGACATTCCTGTTCAGTACATGTACCAAGGGAACCCCCAAAATGATAAACAAGTAAATGTTCAAAAGACAGTGTTAAGAGAGAGAAATAATCCTTAGGTCTGTTTTGAATCCCAGTGCCACATTATCCTATCTTGCACTATTTGTATGCACCAGGCGTCAACAAAGCAATGTTGTTAAGCAGCTAAGGTACAGCATCAGTCAGCCTGGCTGTATGTTCTTGGTTTGATTGCCAAGGTAGGCAGTTACAAACTAATTGGCCGTTAGTCATGACTGGAATGCAGTTACAAGACTCAAAAACTTTTCTTCATGCTTTGGTTTCATATTAAACAATGAGTGGAAATCTAATAATCTCACCTCATTCAAGATAATTTTAAAGAAGGTCCATTAGCTGCTTGGCCCCATGGTCTAAAAGAACAAGCAATGAAAACATTGGTATATATCTAGGGGATGGAGTTAGTCCTTGGACTAGCCAGGGGTGGAGGAGAGGGATTTATTACATACAAAAAAAATTAATGCTATGGCATCTCCACTACCCAAAATTGGAGGGGATCCCAGGAAATGTAAAACAGTGCTACTAATCCCTGAGAGCTGACATGCCAAGAGCATAAATGAAGATCAGGTTTGATTTAATTATTAGGAGGCCAGGTTTTAACTTCAGTTTTAGCTGCTTGTACTACATTAGCTTAAATGACTACATTTAATATATTTTTAAACTGTAAATATATGCTAAGAAAGCCAAAAAAATGTTGCACCCAGCTCACTTATGAATTCAGAGAAGTATATAGAAGAATGTAACATTGCATTTCTTGGTCTCTTTCCAGACTCAGAGCAATCCTCTTTGCAAAATATGTATTTGCAGATCATTAACACTGCTTCCTCCCACTTACTGTATTGCCCATATATAAATGTTCTCAGTATTGCATTTGCAAACAAAAGAATAAAATGAAAGGTAAGTGTTCAAATTTAAAATAATATTCCACAAATTATACCTAAAAATAACCCACAAAACTCCTTTTCAATCATCAAGGATTATGAGGCCAGAAGGAGAAAGAAGGTAGTTTCTAATCTTTCAGGTGGCAAATTACAAGTAACTTATTTAGAACCAATGTGTCAGTCGCACTCTATTTGAAACTCTATTCAGCTACTGCTAGTCAGTCAATGATCTGGGATACATATAAAAGCTTAAATGGAAATTTAGAATAAAAAGGTAGAAAATACGTATATCTTGTACCCACTATGGCAATAGGGGCCAATATTGCCTAAACCTATCTATACTACTATACTATATCTATCCTACTATATAGGGAAGATCTTTGTGTTAGAAGGACTTTAGCTCTTGGATAGGACATTGCTTATGCATTAGGAAAAGAATAAGTCCTTTGTGGGAAAAATTCACATCCAATGATAGTCACAAGAACTGTGATGCTTTTGTAAACACTGCATGACCTGAAATGAGGCCCTTCATAATTAATTTGTTTGATTTTCAGTTGTCAAAAAAAACCCAAAACATGACAATCCAATAAAGCAAAATGGAGGAAGACAGTCAGATAATTTAATCTGGTAAATCTGTTAGCCAGTTTATTCATGTGCCACGTAAACAAAACATTGCTTTCAAACATGCAGTGGAAGATATTTGCTATGTCTTAAGCAAAATGATCATGTTCTGCTGCTTCAAACTGAATATATTAATGAAGAATGGGAATAATTTTAAAGCCACATTTACCTTGACACAAGATAAGACAGCTTTAGTTTTTTGTTAGAAGTTAAATCATTACTAACTGAACTGCTGAATCTTGGCAATCTGAAGCAAATATTCTTTTACTGTACTAAAAAGTATCAATACCCTGGTCTTGTCACAAAGATGATGGGGGGAGTAGAGCAAAGAGCATGATTTGCATACACAGCCATCAAAAACAAATGTGGGTTTAATGGCTGATCACCTAGCAGAGCAGTTGGTATTTTAACAATGTGGCAGCCTTGGATTTGGAAGGTTGATAGATTTTTCAGGATCAAAAGGGCGTTTCTTAAAAAGTGTAATTTTATGGTAGGTTATATTTTGGGTTTACCAGCTTTGACATGGTCCCTTTAAAATAACAGTTCAAGCTGTGAATTGGGACTAGCAGGCTAAAAATACTTTGGTAGAAATTTAGCCATCCTGACCCTGTTCACACTTGCAAAACTGGCATTTCTCTTCCAGTGTCATTCTGCACTTCCTGACCTCTTTGAAGGGTTAGATCAGCTTTCAGCTCTACGGTGCATATCTCCATATTTTTCATAATAAAATACCATTCTTACAGATGCAACAGTGATAGGACATTTATAAAATGAGTGACCAGGGAACCCAAATTCAATGGCATTCCAACTTTAGGAAACCCACGCCTTATGTATTTTATAGTCTCAAAAGGGCCAGACTCCATTATTAGCAAAAACTGTATCTGTGCTATTGTTATAGAGTTCCATATGTTATAGGGAGAGAGAGATATATAAATAAAAACATGAAACTCAATATCACATTAGAAAATGTATGTTTATTTGTGTATAAAATAAAGAATTTGTGTGTTTGTTTTTATTAATTAACATATAAAAAGTAGCTTTGATATCATTTTTTATAATATGAGATTATATACAGGTATTTTTACATTATTTTTAATTAAACTTTTTTAACATGGACCTTTAATGGGGATAGTTTTATTTGAGTACAGTAATCATATGGATGATAATTGTATATAACATTGCATATAATATGTATTGATTATATCTTACATTAAATCTTTAACAAAATAGCACTGATATAGTTGTTGCTAATAATGGAAATATAAAAACATGCATGCACCCAGGCGCAGGCACACGTGCATACACAGAACTTCAGTTGAGTATCAACTGAGTTTTCCTGTTGAAAAATTTAAATACACATGTAGTCCTTGCACACATTCAGTGTATATATTTTCACAGTGTTGCACAAAGGAAAAAAACTTGATGAGCATTGAGTAACTTATTTTTTGAGAACCTTTTCAGCAATCTTAATCAGACATTTACCAAAATGCAATGCAACAAGGAGGATTTGCTCCTTGGTTTCGACTTAACATTCCACTTCCATTGATAAGTTTCCCCAAGGTCTCTGATACCAGTGTTAATTAAAAAACAAGTTAATCAAACTTTAGAAATTGAATTATGTCTTTAGTGCAAGCTGCAGAGGATGTAACTATGTAAAAATGTTCACAATTTGCCACTCTTTAAAATATGGACAGTAACCTTTTGTTACTGTAAATATAGTACTGTAAGTCTGGTAAAGTCATCACATACATTAAACGTAGTAGGCCCATTTACCTCACATTCCTATCTTTTAGCTTCCACAATTAGCATGATCCACAGCTGAAAAAATAAGTCAAGATGTCAGTGATAAATGGGATGAAATGGTCAACCAAGCAAGTGACAATATTATTTATAAAAGATATTACATACAAATGTTTATCAAAAGATATGGGTATGTTACATATGATTTTATTCCTCAGGGTCCTCTAAGTCAATTCATGTGTGAAAGAAACATACTTTAAATTTTAAAGTATGTTTTAAAATTTTTTTAAACATTATTTTAAAAAATAAACATTATTTTTTAAAGTTTAAAAAATAAATCCACTTTTCCAGAACTGTATTGCATAAGTGTGGGATCTGGGTACCTAACCTCTAGCTTTGGAAGTTTGTGGTAGAGCCAGGAATAATCCCTAATCCCCCAGCTCTGAGATCTAACCTGATCCACATTATCTTTCTTTCCCTTCCTGCCCTGCAGAGATGGAAACACTGAGATTTCTATGCTGCTTGCTGTTGGTATCCTCCCTAGTATCCCCCCTAGCTCTGCAGTTAAGATCTGAGAGGTGGTACAGACCCATTTGTACTGAAATGA